CTTCCCCCCCCCCCTCCACCGACCCCCCCTTAACTCACTAACTGGTTCGCATCGTATGCTGCTCTTGTGGTTATTTCGTTTCCCTCATTGCTTCTTCAATCCACACTTTGTCCCATGTACGTTGGTCTCATCCCGATCTACCAAATACTGTGAGGTTTATTTAAATGGTTTCTTTTTCTTCTGATCTCAAAGTCAACAATCATATCGTTAATTTTATTTAATTTATTGATAACGGTGATGCTGTTGTTGTCATCATTGTTGTTGATGTTGTTTTTGCCCTTCCTTTCAGTTTGATCACGTGGTTGTCCGTTCAACCGCGTTATGCTGTTTAAGAAATCATGATCCATCGATTTTCCATTTCCAAAACGGAGTTGCAAAATGTAGGAAAATCACCCTGAAATAATAAAAAAATAATTGCATCTATCCCCCTTCCCGGAAGCTTTCAGTACAGATGTGTATTCCGTAAGCAGCAGCTCGCTATGACCTATGCAGCCATGGATTCTTTTGTCAGACCACCACCAACAACTTATTTTTCCCCCATTCGCCCATCCGTCCCGCCCAGAACTTGATTCATTCTCCCCCTTGTCTACGTGGTCCGATTACTCTTAGAATTGTGACGATACCGTCCCTCGCGAATGCGCTCGCTTGCGTTAAAAATTGCGTATTGTCTTGTTTTTTGTTTTCTCCTCCGAGAAGTGCCTCCTACCATCTGCGTTACGAAGATAAAAAAAGAACAGTGTTAGTGAGAACATCATGTGTCACTTCTATAAAATGAAATTCTGAGGCTACCAGATCTTCTGAACACGTCACTCGAAAATGGTTTGCCATCCTGATTTGTAGCATGGGAGTAAAAGTTTGAATATCATTAACCTTATATTTGGAAGTATAGTCCCACCGTAACGAATTCGAATCAAGAAGCCAAAAACAGGTTTGTTCAATGTATCCTGGATCATTTCACTGCATCTGTATACGTGCATACTGCAGTCTATGTGATCATTTATATATGGTCAGTAAAAACAAAATCACAGGCTTATCACTCTGGCACTACCTTGGTAACAAATGTGTTTGGTGAGTAATTTTGACCGCAATCTTTCTCCTCCTATGATTCTGTTATTTACTGACCACATATTAATGATCACATCGACTGCAGTATGCACGTGTACAGATGCAACGAAATGATCCAGGATACATTGTACAAACCTGTTTACTTGGATTCCTTATTCAAACCTTAAATTTGTTTTAATCAAGTCTCGCCGCACAGGGCACGATCCACAGATTCTGATCTCAATCAAGTCTATTCATTTTATTGTTTGAAAAATCATTGCCAAAATCTGGTCCAGTTAGCCATGCAAACGCAGAACTATACTGGTTGAGCCAAGGAATTCAGTGTTTGATACAAGATATTAAAGGTCCATGGACTTTCTTACCTACACCACAGTTAGCAAGTCATAAATAGTAAATCAAGTTGCAGGCACGTTGAGATCAAGAGACATCCATTATTGTCGACAGTTACTTATGAGCAGTGGTTTGAGATTGGTGACATTGATTTTGGCTGACTATCCCTCAGATTTCATCTTCACGCAAAATCCGAAGTTCATCCAATCCAACATGCCAATGAGAAGCACTGCACTTGAGTGCTTTTGTTGCTGTCGTCGTTGTTCTTAGTGCCTATACAGAAGTAGTGAGTTCGTTAGAAGTTGTCACACAGATGCGTTCTTTGTTTTGAGGTTCGGGCTTAAGCTCTCGGATGTTTGGATGAATGTGCAAAACTGGTGAGTGTAAACAGGATAAAACAGGAGTGTAGAGCTTTGCATGCATGTGATTGGCTCCGGAAGGACTGGGGATTGGTTGCCATCCCGACGAGACTGCACCTTGACGTGGTGTGATGGTTTGCGTGCCACCATGACCGTGCGAGCTACATAGGATGGCTTTTCACAGCCCTAGATTCACTCATACCTGAAAGGTCAACTGGTAGAGGCCAGACAAAGTCGCAAAGCCAGCTGCTTGGGCACCTTCTTGCTTCGTTTGTCTATCCACACCGGCCCCTGAAGAGATCACTTCAACGAATAAACACTGTGAGGGGCAGTTTACCGATCAAAAGAACCCCGCTACATGGACGTAGGAGCGGGGTACCTGGGGCCTCCACTTGACGGTGGAAGAAGTCTCCGTTGGACAGCTACCGCCCGCCCTAGCTGAGCAGCCCCCAGCCAATAAGGTGCTGTCCCGTCCACGTTCCGTTTATCTCACTGGGTGCATAACGCTGAGGGCCGATCCCGAAATCAGACCGACAACCAACGCACCAGCGAACGACACAATTAATTGAAATTAAAAGGCTTTGCGTGACAGGTCTCTAGAAGCTCCCACACGGGTGATTCGTTCACGCTCCCGCGTTGGATTTACGCCCCACTGCCTGGTGGGTCAGAGTTTTGAATCGAAGGCTCCGGTTAGTGTTCCCAAAGAAAAACTCCTACGTCGGTATGGGCAACCACGAAGTATGTCGTGCCCTAAAATATTAGGCACCCATTTGGAAAAACCTCTTTCCGATACATCTAGTTCTTCCTTTCAATTCCGAATAATCCCATGCGCCTCCTGTTTAGGCCACCCATCGAATATCACTCAGCATTTTACCAACAAGGTCAATATTTTCAAAGCCAAAATTCGCTTTTCACTTGGCCGCGTTCAATGTTCTCACACTTAGTCAGATTGGTCATAAAGTTGCCGTTGCTAGAATCCTTGCAACTTTCAATTTAGATGTATGCTGTGTTTCCGAAACGTGCATACAAGACCCTACTTCAATTTTCTCCATGCTTTCTCCTAACTCAACCTCACACTTCACCCTCCGTATGTCAGACGATTCGGTATCCGAAGCTCGCTGTGTGGCTGGTGTTGTGATAGCGGTAAGTGTCAAGGATGAGCGCTCGCGTCTTGACTGAATTACAGTCAGTAGCCGACTGTGTGCTGTACCTTCAGCTTGGGTCAACAGCTACAGAACGACGTTTCGATGCTTATTCGTTTTATCTTTGTCTGCACCGACCGATTGCAATTCACCTGAAATCAAGGATATTTCTCAACACTCCGAAGTGTTTCATTAACGGACATCGTAGCAGTTGCCGGAGAGTCAAATACTCAAGTGGGATCCCTGGACAAATGTGAAATGCTTCTTGATGGACCGCATACAACGGAGATCGTTCACTTCAACTCTGCGCCGACCATGGACTCTTCCCGTTAAGC